TATGCCAAGGAAAAATTGAATTTTTCCTGGAAATTCTTATGCTTTGGCTAATTCAATTTCTTTTTTATGTTCAGAGCAAAATGATAATTGTGTCCCTTTCTGTCCTTGGTCATGGTATTAAACTCAAACAAAGTTCTCTTTTTAATAGTGACAGAAAACTTCAGTCTTCAGTTACACCCAAACCAACATTTTGCATTGAAATACATAATCATAATTGTGAATGAATACATGTACTTCTCATTATGTGTGTTAATATTTATGTGATACTGTTGTTAATTTCGGAGATACAATAGCTGCAATTCAGAATACCAATGAATACAATAGAGGTAATTAGCATAATACATTGCTATGCAAATTTGTCAATACTCTTACCGGATATGCTAAACAAACAGCTGTAAAAAGAGGTTTTTTTTTACCTCCATTAGACAGGAATGAATGGTACATTGTAAATTTACAACCTAAAAGTATCTTAGAAGAAAATACTCCTGAGGATCTCACAATTAATTGTTTTCAGCAAAGATTCCAATAAAATATTAGATACATAAGCCCTAGTAATTTAAGCTTCAACAAACTTTCTGGCCAAATTGTTTTTCAAAAAGAGACGTCCTTGATTTACTTATGTGCAGTGCCAAAACAACATTTGTATTTTACAATACAGTGAAGTTTAATCTCATGGATGTTTTCAGTATTACATAACATTTTTTTTTTACCATACTACCATGTCATACCATACTACTATTAAACAAAATTATTTACAAATACATATAGGAAGGACTTGACCAGATTTTTTTACAACATAATTTTGAACACCATCAACATAGTATAGTATATTTTATTTGGCACGAAATAATGCATTGAATTACATTATCAATGGTCAATAAACATACAACAACAAGTAACAAACATCAATAACAAATAAAACAATAAGTAAGCAAAGAAATATAAAATATTAGTAGTACATGTAATAAGAAACAAAAGTAAAGTTTAGATATTGTTAGACATTATAATTTGATGGACAAATTTTCCGAGACTGTTAACAATGAAACTATCATTTGAGGTAAATAATTTTTTAAGTAAGTTATCCTTGGATAATTCTTGAATTTTTTCATCATAAACCGAAACCATATTTAAAAATTCTAAACGACTATTCTTAATTTCAATATTTTCACAGTCCATGAATGCATGAGTTTCACTGCCCCTAGATCACATAGTGTACAAATTCTTTCTTCTGGAAGTATTCCTTGATATCTCAACTATTCAATTGGAAGTGAATGAGCTGAAATTCTAAATCTAGTTAAGTTGGTTCGATGTTTTATATTTTTCATAAGATCCAGGTATGGCTCAAATTTGAATGCTAATTTTATTTTGTTGTATGTTCGTAATTTGTTATTTTCTGTTTTTTGTAGACTTTGCAACCAAATATTTTTTACATACAATTGTTTTAACTTTGTTTCAAAATATATTTACATATGCATATGAAATGAACAACAAAAATCCAATGGTATAATTTAGACCTTTGTGAGTCTGAAAGCCACTTTGTGGTGTGTTTGCTCGGAAAAGGAACGGAAACGGAAGTATTTGAAATAATCTTTAATCCAAGTGGGGG